TGCATAACCCATGGACACAGACAATAGGGTGGTGAGAGCCTGAGGTGGGGGTGGGGGTGGGGGAGGGCAGGAAGACGTCAATGGCGTAAAGAAGGACATAAGTAATTATGTAAGACTTTCAACAATAAAGACTTTTTAAAAAATAGGACAAAATGGAAAGCCTCCTAACTTGCAATCACCTCCCTCACCCTCAGCTCCCAGCACACTCACATCCATTTGCAGAACAGCTCTGTCTGCAGTGAGAGACCAATGCTCCCAAAATATTCCAACTTGTGTGCTCATCACTGACCAGCTCAGAGCTGCCTCACAATAGGGCCCAACACAGTGTTTCTGACACAACCAGACCAAACCTTCAAAGCACTAAATCAAAGCAATGCTTTTAATGCAGGAAATTCTAAGTTCCAGAAGAGGACCTTCCTACTGAATCTCTGACCAGGAACTGATGATGCTGTTCATCTCTGATGCTAGTTGGTTCTCAGTACTGAGATGACCCAATCCAGGAACAAAGAAATGAGTTCCTCAGTTGGTGTTTTTGGGATGTGGATGGAGAAGGGTCACAGTCCTCACTGAGTGAGACCCCCCTGCTCCCTGGCCCTGTCCTCTCTGAGCTCCAGCATGGTGTGTCTGCGGCTCCCCGGAGGCTCCTGGATGGCCGCTCTGACGGTGATGCTGATGGCACTGAGCCCTCCCCTGGCTCGGGCCAGGAACACTCCACGTAAGTGCACCTTGGGGGTGAGCTGTTGTGGGAGAGGAAGAAAGGGAATTAGCTTTGTCACTGTGTCCAGGCCATGTCCATTAGAAAATGGTGGCATTTTCTTCAGTGGCCACCTGCCTTTACCATATGGATCCCAATTCTTTCCACCACAAAAGGGGCTGGTGCTCGCCACTATGAGATGTGCAAGGGGCTCCTCCATGTATAGCCGTTTCTTCTCATCTTGCCTCCAGTAAACCTCCCCAGCCTGTGTCCCCTTCCATGGAGGTCTTGAGTGGATTGAGAAATAATGATTTCAGACTAACTGTGCTCCATTTACTGTATTGAGTTATCCCCAAGAGAAAAGTTTCTGTGGCATTTTATGTGAGTCAAAGGAATTAGAGGGTCTCTCTTTGAGGATCCCTGTGTTCTGTCCTCAGCAGAATCTGTGATGTTGATGCCTCTCCCTACTATGTAAGATGTATCAAGGTTCCTCCCCACCATCTCCTTTCCTTTCTCCGTGAGCTTCTTAAGAAAGAAAAAATTCATAACAATAATTACTTTAAAAAATACCCCATGGTTATGGGACAGAGAGCGTGGATTCACCTGACGTCAGTTCAAGTGCTAAGGGAGCTCTCCCTGAGGAAGTGACACTTGAGACCTGGATGATGAGAGAAGCCCCCATGAGAAGATCTCGGGGACAAGTGTCCCAGGGAGAGGGAGAGGGAGAGGCCACAGTTTGGGAACGTTTTTGCCGTGTTGAAGGGGCAGGAAGAAGGCTAGTGAGGCTGCAGCAGGCGAGCAAGTTGGGGAGTGACATTGACATAGGAAGAGGCTGGGGAAGACGGGAGACAAATCATATTGGGCCCTGACGGGTGGGTAAGAAGTTTGAATTTTATCTGAAGAGACATGTGACCTGCTGAGGGTTACAGGAGATCCCACGTATGTTTATTAAAAACAATAACCCCAGCTACCAGGGGGGATTGGATTACAGGGTTCACAAGAGGAGTTGGGGGGCTCTTGAGGAGCATGGAAGAGCGCCCAGGTGTCGGGCTTGGACTTCATTAGTGTGTGCGGCAAAGGCAGCGGGAAAGGGGAAGTGAGCAGATCTGGGGGAGATATTCCCACGACTTGTTAATGAATAAAATCCCTAAGGATTTTATCTTGAACTTGAGCCCAGGTGCATGAAATTCTGCATGGGAGGGGTTGCTAGGCCTGGACTGCAATCAGGGCCTATGAGAGCTGTCTCACCCAGTCCCAATTGGGCCTGCGGCTGCTGCTGCTATAAAGGGCCTGCTGGATCAGGGGAGGGATGAGGGAAGGAACCGCAGGAGGGATGAGGGAAGGGACTGCTGGCCTTGGGATGTTGGCTGTGGAGTGCACTGACCACCAGGATGCAGCTCCTGCATTGAGCATCTGCCCCTTGGTGATCAGTGTGCATCATAATGACTGGTTGACCGGTCATTGCAGTCATTCCAGTTGTTCAATCATAATGATCGCTTAGGCTTTTATATATGAGTGGTTAGGAATAAAGGTTTTGTGTAAGTTTGAAATGATTTTTTGACATTTGTGTGGAGCTGTTAAGAGGACAGTGGAATGCAGGAGCCTCGAGTTCAGGGCCAATCAGGGCAGGAGTTGTTTGTGTTTGTGTCATTGACACATGTGTTGTGTTAAATTCCAGGGAAGTTGAGGAGAGAGAGAGAGAAAGAGAGAGAGAGAGAGAGAGAGAGAGAGAGAGAGAGAGAGAGAGAGAGAGAGAAAGTGAGAGAGAAAGTGAGAGAGAAAGTGAGAGAACAAGAAGATGCCAAGGGTTGAGCCCAGAGGACACTGAGAAGGGGTGCAGTGTGTTGAGGAAAACTAAGAGAAGGTGATGCAGGGCAGAGAGGGGAAGTAGACTTTTCCAGGAGGGTGTGGCCAGGTGTGGTGAGAACCACTGGGAGGCAGGGAAGTGAGGACATGCAGAGCAGTGAGCACTGGGTTTGGTGGGCGCGGTGTTAGCAGGCAGTGGAGTGTATGAGACGGAATCTGATTGGACCATTTGAGCACAGGGACCTGAGCTGAAGATATAAGGGATGATTACAGGTGACTCTGAGCAGCGACCTCAGGGAGACTGTGCGCTGGGGTCAGGGAGTCAGCTGCTTGAAGGGAAGCTGGGGACTCAAGAACCAGAGATGCTCTGTCATCAGCAAGGAGCCTCTGGAGTGACCTTGAAGGCAGAGGTGACTGGTTATGAAAGCCACCAATTCCACAGCCACCGTTTATTAGTGACCAGAGCAGACAGTCACCACCTGGGGATGAGGGTGGAGTCATGGACAAGACAAATCTGGTCCCTGCGGCATGGAGCAGCGTCACATGGGCAGTTACTATGCACCAGGCCTACATTTGAGTGTGTGACTCTCATAACCATCCTGTCTCACCTGCAGCAATTACAACTGTAATCACCCATGGAATCTGATTCAGAGAGTTTAAACAACTTACCCAGAGTCACATGGTTAGTTGTAGACCAGGTGACATAGTCTAGATCTCAGTATCTAGAAAGTCCTCTCTTCTACCTCAGCATAGTCCTTTCATAGTAGGTGCATGTGTATATATCCCGTTATTACACAGAGACCAATGTTTCTGTCCTTGTGTTCAAAATGATATTTAGTGATAAAATTAATTAAAACAATTGCCAAATGGTGATGGAGACATTATGTGATCTAGGAAGTGAAGGAATAGAAAGATCTTGTGAGTTTCCATTCCTAAGAGTTATAAGAATTAAAATAGCAAAGTACTTATTCAGTGCTTATATGATCAGCATCAGAAAGAATCATTATTTAATTCCACATTTAACAATATCCTGTGAGGAATATAGTATCAGTAAATCTATATTAGACATAAAGAAGAAGGCCCTTCGGTGCTACAATCTGACCCAGTGGGAGAGCTAATGTTCTAATTTAGGTTCCTCACTCTTGAGCTTGGGCTTCTACCCACACTGGTGAACAGGGGCTTGGTTGGGTCTGACTTGCTGCTGAGATTTCTGATGTTCCCATGGGCCAGCGTGTGTCTCAGGGTTGTGGGCAGCAGGTGCAAGGGCTGCAAGTTCCAATACACAGGAGGAATTTACATCTATTTTGCTTTTAAAACCTGAAAAGTTTCCTATGGCCTCACACTATGTGCAGACTGTCGTAGGCATGTGAGGAACACAAAGAAGTTTGAGAGCACTCCTCCGCCTCAGATTCCATCAGCGGGTGGGCTTGGTTTGCCAAAGAAAAGAGTGGATGCTCTATTTAAGCTGAATATCAGAGAAACAACAATTATTTATCTGAATCCACATGTGCTGGGAATTATGAATTTTTATTTGCTTTATCTGGCGGCCTTTCAGGTGGGCCCATGAGCCTGGCCTTATAGTGCTGAGCACACAGGCTACCGTGAACAGCAAGTCACACATATTTATTTTCAGCTTCTCATGTGTCAGGAAGGTGCTGAAGAATTTGTGAAAAGTTACATAGACTGAGCCTGAGCAGAGTGCCCTCCTCTCTGCCATCACTTCTCGGTGAAGGTCTCCATCTAAAGTCTGGGACCTGCTCCTGTTTGTAATCTGTCTCTGTGAGGGGTCATCTTAGCTGCTCCCCTTCTGAGGGACCTGCCTATAGAAATGAAAGTCCACATCCAGCCAAGGCTGGTAACCTGATGCCTCCTGGTATTACTGGGAGCAGGAGGCAGTTAGAAAGTGAATTAGTTGGGACTTTGAACAGGAACCAAATGGCCGTGGCTATAGCTGCTCCTGTGGACAAGCAGTGGGCCAGTGGCCTGGAGATTATGAAAGAAGACGATGTGGAGGACAAATGATGACTCGGTGACTGGGTGGCGACGCGAAGAAACAGGTAGATCTTGGTCCTGAACAAGTTTATATTCCTATAAAAATAGTCTGCACTGGAACCAGATACCTAAAGAATATAAATTCCATATAGACCAAGCCTTTCCACAGATACAATATTGGCTAAATTTTTATTGCGATTCCCAGCTGCTGCATCAACAGTGGATTTTTCACCCCAGACTTTTCAGACGGTTCACCACCCCTTTCCCCTCTTCACAAACGAGGAACTTATGGCAATTTCTGGAACCATGTCTGGCTGTCACGGGGGTGTCTCTGACAACTGGTGGGGATGCTGAGTGCAGCCCACTGTGTACACAACACCCACCCCAACCTCACAGAATCATCTGGTCCAAATGCCAATAGTGCTGAGGGTGAGAACACTGCTGGACACCGGCTGTTTCTAAAAATTCAAGACTCACACTGTATACACACACACCTTCCAACGCAGCTCTTCATGGTTTATTAAGAAAAAACCTAGACAGTTACACAAAATCAGCACTTTCTTGTTGTATCCAGTCAATCAATTGAAGCTCACAATGTTGATGTTTATTTTGCCTTTTGCGATATTTGTCAAAACGTCATGAGTTGTGGTCACTCATCTCTGCTGACCTTCCACGTCTCTCCTCCATGAGTCGTGCATCGTGGGGAGCCCCCTGTCCTCAGTCAGGGGCTCCCATTTCTGCAGGGACTCTCTCCACACCAGCGATGGTGTCAGAGCTTCCATCCACCACCTGCTTTCACCACAGGTGTGTTCTGGTTCTCTGCGCTTCCTGGGTTGGACATGCAGGAAAGAGCTGGCGCCCTATTGGGGTTAGGGTGTAACCCCTGAAACTCCTCAGTACTTCCCCTTACATGGAGCAGAAGCCCCCCTAACTCACCCCCAGGCTCTCAGCACCATGCCTCCTCCAGGCTCCTGTCCCCTCCTCTCACTGTCTGGGCTCAGAGCCTGTTCTCTGGGTTCCCAGGAGGCACATGGGTTCTCTCAGGCTTCGCAGGTGGCATTGCCTTCTCCTGAAATGTGCCCCCTCCCCCACATACAGCAACCTTCCCCCACATCCTGTCACTCAGAGGCCCTGGCCCCGCCCCTGATGGGACTTGGACACTGTGGTCCCTGCTCCAGGCGCCCCTTTCCTGCCATCTCCCTCCTGTGTGGATGCGCCTGTGGTTGGGCTGTGATGGGCACTTTGATGAATTCTAAGCTGCAGAGCAGAGGGCGATGCCCGGTTACCTGCCTGGGTCCCGGGGCAGCTGGGGCCTGGCAGGAGGTCCCCTGCCCAGGGGGTGACAGGAGGAGGCGGGTGTGGGGACGGGAGAGGCTGGGGGTGATGGGGGGGTCTAGGAGGAGGCGGTGATGGCACAAGTCCTCGCCCAGCCTGGAGCCCGGAGCCCGCGGGGCAGCCCAGTGGGTGCCCAGGGGCTGAGGGTCCCAGGGGTCTCCCTGCCCTGCGGCCTCCCAGCCCCAGAGGAGGGCCCCTGGGCGCTGGCAGTGGGGGTGCTGGGTCCTGTGTCCCCACCGCATGGCGCCCTGCACTGGTCGGTGTCACCATCGACTCTAACCAGCATGCCTGGTCCTTCCTGTTCCCTCAGCGCATTTCCTGGAGCAGGTTAAACAGGAGTGTCATTTCTCCAACGGGACCGAGCGGGTGCGGTACCTGCTGAGATACATCTACAACGGGCAGGATTACGTGCTCTTCGACAGCGACTTGGGGGAGTTCCAGGCGGTGACCGAGCTGGGGCGGCCTGAAGAGAAGGGCTGGAACAGCAAGGAGCGCGAACTGGAGCTGAGGAGAGCCATGGTGGACACATACTGCAGACACAACTACATGGGGGCTGAGGGATTCCTGGTGCCTAGGCAAAGTGAGCGCAGGGGCGGGGAGGGGGTGGGAGGGAGCACTGGAACAGCCAGGAGGGCCTCCTGGAGGAGAAGCGGGGCTATGTGGTCACGCTCTGCAGACACAACTACGTGGAGTTTGAGAGATTCCTGGTGCATCGGCAAAGTGAGCGCGGAGGCGGGGGTGGGAGAAGAGGGGACTGGTGGCGTAGGAGGGTGCGGGGGTGCGCACACAGGGCTGTGAGGAGCACCCATGAGGGGCCTGAGGGCGGCTGTGGGGACCCTGTGGTCCTGTCCTGTGTAGGGCGTTTCCGGGGGTGCCCAGTCCTGTCCAGTCGGGGGAGGGTTTGGGGGGCAGCGGGGAGGGGGAGGGGGGGAGGTGTGAGGAGGGAGTCGGTCTGTCTTGGCCAAACCCCCCCTGACCTTGAATAGGGGTGCTGGGTGTACAGGCCTTTCCCTGGGCGGAGGGTCAGGCTGGGAGTGAGGGGCGGGGCCTCCGAGGCACCTCTGGCCTCTCAGCTCCTTTCAGGTCTCAGTGTCTTGTTCCCCCCTCAGTGCCCCTGTGCTTACAGAGGGGGTGATGGTGAGCCAGGGTCTAAATTGTAAATGTGTTACTTAACACACTGATGTCACATCTACACAGGCTGACAGCATTTAAGTAATTACATGTTAACTGTTTAGAGTTCTGACAAACTACTTTGCATTCTGTTTTAATCTTACTCAATATCGCCGAATACTCAGGTGAAAAATTGTTTTTTTACTTTACATTTATCCTTCTTTGATTTCTAAGGTTCTTGAACATTTTTCACGTATGTGTTGGCTAATGGCTGTTCCTGCTCTAGGAATGACCTATTGTCTGTAATCCCTGGGGTCCGGGCCTTTTTCTCAGTGATTTTCTGGGTTCTCTAGGCAGCAAGATTGACACTTTGCTAACATGGATTCAGCATTTTCTCCTGCTCCTGGCTTGTGTTTTCATTCTGTTTTACTACTTTCCATGTTAAGAATTTAAACAACTTTAAGGTAATGAAATGCACTCAGAAGTCGCTAGCAATGACATACCATCAATCTCAAATCTACCCTTTTGGGGTGCATTAAAAATGTTTCCCCCAGGTTCCTCCACCTCCTCATGGTCTCCTCCTCCTTCTCCTCCTCCTCTCCTCTTCCTCCTCCTCCCAATCTTCTTCCTCCTCCTCCTCCTACTCCTCTACTCCCTTTTTTTCTCCTCCTCCTCCTTCGCTTTTTCCTCCTCCTCTTCCATTTTTTCCTCCTCCTCCTCTTCGCCCTCCAAATCTGTATTTATTGAGCCTGGCCTCAGGCAGGAAGCACACATGTTAATGAGTCCCAGACCCTGCTCTGAGCTCAAATGTCAGATTGAAAAGAGAGACAATTATAAAATGATAAGTGGACTTCTTTTGAGAAGGAGCGGGTTGCTCAGTGAGTGTCGCTGTCAGTGTTATAATGATGCTGCCCTGCTCCTCCCACTCCCTCAGGACTCAGCCCCGGAGCTAGGGAATCCCCCGTCTTTCCTGCTTCCAGGGGAACCATCTCTGTGCTCTCAGGTGTGATCACATTCCCAGGACTTCACACCCTGAGTCCCCATCTCCCCAAGCTGTTCCCCAGCTTCTCCCTCTGCTTTCCTTATGTTCTCTCTCCATATGTGATAAACAGCTGACATACAGTGACGGCTACGTTCCAGCCGCTGTTGTACATGTTTCAGGCCCATTGGTCCTCATATGTCCTTAAGCGGTGAGTTAGTATTACCACCCCCTTTGCAGGTGAGGAGCTGAGCAGAGAGGGTCCCCCAGGATCACCCAGTAAGAGGCACAGCCCGGATGTGACCAAGCAGCCCTGCTCCAGAAATCACACTGGAACTCACACACTCTGTGCCTTGCAAAGATTTGTAAACACTCCATTCAACAATGAGTAACTGTTTCAAGATACGAAAAATCCCCCAAATTTTCTCAACGTCTCTCAAACCCAGTGGCCCGGGTTGTAGTCAGAGATTCAAGGCTCATGGCACAATCACCTGCGGGGCTACAGGGAGGTTGAGAGGAGCCTGCCCAGGCCTAGAGCTTGAAACTGGAGACGAGGCCAAAAGGGAGCAACCAAGGGGCCTGCCAGTCTTGCTCACGGCTCCCTCCGCCTTCTCTGTCCTAGCTGAGCCCACAGTGACTGTGTATCCTGCAAAGACCCAGCACCTGCAGCACCACAACCTCCTGGTCTGCTCCGTGAATGGCTTCTATCCGGGCCACATTTGCAAAGACCCAGCGCCTGCAGCACCACAACCTCCTGGTCTGCTCCGTGAACGGCTTCTATCCGGGCCACATTGAGGTCCGCTGGCTGCGCAACGGCCAGGAAGAGGAGGCTGGGGTGGTGTCCACGGGCCTGATCCGGAACGGGGAGTGGACCTTCCAGACCCTGGTGATGCTGGAAACAGTTCCTCGGAGCGGGGAGGTCTACACCTGCCAAGTGCGGCACCCCAGCAGCACCAGCCCTGTCACCGTGGAATGGAGTGAGACGCCCTCTGACCTCACACGCCTCCCCCCCCACAGGGGCCTTTGCTTGTCCCTGAGGGTCAGGGTCCCCTCTCCCCACACCCCGTTTTCCTTTGCTCTGTCTCTCCTTCGGCACAGGCCACAGGGTAGCCCTGTGATCGCTTCTGTGAACACCCATAGCCCTGGGAGGCCGCCATGCCTGCCCTGCTTTGAATTCATCACACTCTCCCAGTCATGGTGCCCCTTGGCCCTGGGCACCATCCCCTGTGGGCTGGGCAGGTGCTTCTGCCTGCGCTGAGCTGCCCCCTGTGATCTGGGAAGAGGCGCGTCCTCCACAGCCTGTGGACCTTCCTGCCACGGGAGAGCCCCTTCTGCTCTGACGTCTGCAGCTCTGTCACCCGGGCCAAGTCCTGGAGGTCACCGTCCCCGGGTTCCGCAGCCAAAGAGGCTGAAGCAGTGGCCTTGGGTCAGCTGTGAGGGGACCTGAGGCCAGTGCCTGGGCCTTGTACCTGCTCAGTGTGACCTCAGTCTCTTTCCTGAAAATGGCTATTGTTCTGCTTCTTCTAGGGCAGCCTCCCCACTCCCCAACCCCCTTTCCCACCCCTCAAGCTCTCAATCTCAGGGTTTCCAGTAGAGAAGTTGGTTTGGGCCAAAACCCACTGAAACCAGCTTCTTCTCTCAGGGGCCCAGTCTGGATCCACACAGAGCAAGGTGCTGAGTGGAGCAGGGGGTTTCGTGCTGGGGTTGCTCTTCCTCGGGACGGGGCTGCTCACCTACTTCAGGGCTCAGAAAGGTAAGGAGCCTGCTGGCAGCCTTGGCCCCAATTTGGTGGGGACAACTGTGGCTTTGCTGGGTGAGCTCTGGGTATGGCAACTCCATAGAAGCCTGTCTTTCCCTGTCGGTCTTCGGTCTCACGTTTCATGGAAATGCAGAAATAACCAGCTCCCGGTTCTCAGGGTGGAGACATGAGGAGTCATGGTTGTGGAGTTAGAGACGGGTTAACACGCACGGGATTTGGGTGCAGATCCTGGGCACATGGTGGACCAGGCCCTATGGTCACTAGAATGACACTGGATGTGACAGCTTTGGGGCCACTGCTCTCAGCTTCTGCTCTTGTCCCTGCTCTGGTGTCAGCAGGTGGGGGTGCTGCTAGAGAAGCTCAGGTGGCCTGGGCAGGGACCCTGTGTTTGGGGACACACTTACCTTCATATCTTTTAAGTGGTATCTTCCTTCTCTTCCCAGGACACTCTGGACTTCAGCCCACAGGTAACGCTCTTTAATCCTCTCTTAGGGACACATTTGGTTTCCCTAGAACAGAAGGTGCAGGGGACGAGCCAGGGGACAGGTAGCGGGGAGCCTGGGTGTGGCTTTGGCAACCGCTTACACTACAGGATCTCCTCCCGCCTGGTGAGAGGCAGCTCTGAAGCAGCTTTGGCTCCTGGGGCCTCAGGATGTTTCTTCTCACTTGGGAGCCACAGCAGGAGGCCTGGGAGGGCAGCGCCCCTGCTGGCTGGGCCTGGGAACAGCACTGTCCTCTGTCTGCAGGACTCCTGAGCTGAGGTGGCCATGGCGACAAGGACAGGAGAGAACCTTCTGTCAGGCCCCTTCACAGCTTGAAGAGGTTTCCTGCTGGGCTCTCACTCCACAAGGAGAGCGAATCCCACGGCTCTGGCTGGGTCCTGGCTCCTGAGCCCGCAGCCGCTCCTCCCTGCTGGTTCCTCTCCTGCCCTGGACCTGGAGGCCCCAGTGTTGGCTGCAGAACCTTATCTCCATCCCTCCCTGTCCCTGTGTGTTCAACTCTCGCTGTCTGCTGAGCACCTTAGCTCACCTCTGCCCACATTTCTTTACAAAATGTTCCGCAATCAAATATGGAGTGAAATCATCTGTCTCACAGGCTTCAAGGTCAGGTAGTAGAAAGAAAAGAGAGGATCTCACCACAACACAACAATGATTTTCACTTATTTTCCTGAATCTTGTCATGTGGGCATCTGGAAGGTTTCCTTGTTCCCATCCTGCTTTTTCATGAGTTTTCCCTCCTGGAATTGGCTTGGTTCCTGAGCAGGAGAGAGCCTGCCATGGACCTGAACACAGTGGTCTCCTACATCGGTGTTTCTCAAAGATGAGCATACATGTTCCCTTGTTCCTGGGATATGGAAAGGATACAACAAGTATAAGAAATGCAGGCTAGCCCAGGTGCTGTGGCTCAGTGGTTGTGTGTCAACCTATGAACCAGGAGGTCACCCTACAACTCTGGGTCAGGGCATATGCACAGGTTTCAGCCACGATCCCCAGGAGGGGCATAGAGAAAGCATCGATCAATGATTCTCTCTCATCATTGATGTTTCTATCTCTCTTTCCCACTCCCTTCCTCTCTGAAATCAATTAAAATATGTTTCTTTTTTAAAAAAGAAAAGAAAAGCAGGCCACTTGTAAAGATCTGATGTCTTCACTGTTTATATATCCATGTGCTTTTTGCTTTATTCTCTAATTTTTTAAAAGAAGGTACCTAAACCCGGTACCTCTTGAAGTCCCCTTTATTAGGCTAATGGTGGCTTCCACACTTCAGGCTTTTTGTGACTCAGATAAAATGCCTGCTGTGCTGACTCTGCCTTGAGATGCACCTTCCCCATGAGCAGGTCCCGGAGGCCATCAGGACAGAGCTGCCACTCTAGTGGGAAAGGTGCGCTTCTGAGGCCTCCAGCTTGTGTGGCAAACGCACTGTCTGTCACAGGAAACCCTGTGTGGACCTGATCTGAGCATCAACCAGGGCCCCTGCTGGGCACCCAAGGGAGCGTGTGGCTCCCTGATGTGCCAGCGTGCAATCCTCTGCCCTGGAGGGAACGTGAGAGACTCCTGTGGGGTGGCCTCCCAATGCGTGTGAGCAAAGAGCAGCAGAGTTTTATGCAGCGTTTTATTTAATAAGTCAGAGGAGGAGAAAGGACATATAGATAAACCTGTTCATTTCATCTTCCTATTTATTTTTCTTCCTACCAGTTATCTATCTATAGAAACAAGGGATGGATTTTTAAGTGGTTGTTTACAGGGCAAAATGAAGGAATAAGTTGAAGGAATCTGTACTTTTCTGAATATATATCTTATTTAATAGTTTTAACTTGAAGAAAATTCAAATATTTTATGTAATAATTTAAATCAAAAGTTTTAAAAGGCAGTACATAAAACAATTAACAAACTATAGCAATAGAAACAAACTGACAAGAAGGAGATGATGGGAAACAGCTAAAAAGAAATAAATCAAGGGTTCCCAGTCCAAGAGGACAGTGAAGGAAAGGCCTGAGCTCGCCTCCTCCCATTTCACATTAAATTTCCACCTGCAGACAGAGCTCCTCCCCCTGGAGAGGAAATGAGGGCTGACTGAACCACTTCTGCTCAACCAACAAGAGAGAAATCCCATAGATACAGGGGGGAGAGACAGAGACCATGGCAACCCCACCCCAGCTTTGACCTGCAGTGGGCAGGGGTCCCTGAGGGTGTATGTGCAGATGCGCCCACTCTGGGTAAAGTGAAAAACAGTGGCTGAAAGGGCACCTAGACTATAAGGAGGGAAATCCATTTACTAACCGAGAACATCTGCAAGTGGGAGGGGAACTGCAGGAACCCCCTCTGGTATTAGGGGCACCCTGAAGAGCCAGTCATTCATTGACACTCTCCCTCCCTCTTGATCTCATGGGCAGGACATAAGTCAGGTGCTTCAGCCAGCCTTGTTGTCAGGGTGCACACGAGGCCCAGGCCCCAGGCCCCAGGCCCACACCAGCTCTGTGGCTTGTCCCCAGGACTTCCACTCCCACTCCAGCTCCAGCACAGGGCCCCTTACCCCCAGGGCTTCCCATGGCCACTCCCACTGCAGCTCCAGCTCGCCAGCTAAAGACACCTGGCCCACACCAGCTCTGTGGCTTGTCCCCAGGACTTCCACTCCCACTCCAGCTCAGGGCCCCTTACCCCCAGGGCTCCCCATGGCCCACTCCCACTGCAGCTCCGGCTAGCCTGCTAAAGACACCTGGCTCACACAGTCTACAGAGGAGAGGCTCCTAAAAAAGTCTCTCCTTCAAGCCTGGGAGAGGTCGCTGTTTCACCTAATTCATAGAAACAAACACAGAGAGAGAGAGACAGCCACAATGAGAGACAGAGAAATGTATTCCAATAAGGGATAAGGAAACATACATACATACATACATACATACATACATACATACATAAATAAATAAATAAGACTCCATGAAACAATCATAAGCAATTTACAAGATAAAGAGTTAAAAGTAAACACTGGTTATAAGTATGCTCAATGAACTAGAGAAAGGAATATATGAACTCAGTGAGAACTTCAACAAAGACATAGAAAAATATTTAAAACAACCAATCAGAACTGAGGAATATAATCAATGAAATGAAAACAAAAATACTCCAGAGGGAATCAACAGCAGATTAGTTGATACAGGGGAATGAGTCAGCAAGCTGAAAGACAAGGTAGTGAAAGTCAATCAGAACAGCAAAAAAAAATAATAATAATGTTTTTAAAAATGAGGATAGTTTAAGGGACCTGTGGGCAACATCAAGTGTGCCAACATTTGAATCATTGGGGTCCCAGAAGGAGAAGAGAGAGAGAAAGGGATGTAAAACCTACTTAAAGTGATAATGACTGAAAACTTCCCCAATCTGGTAAGGAAAACAGACATCCAAATCCAGAAAGCACAGAGATTCCAAACAAAATGAACCCAAAGAGGCCCATATCAAGACACATCATATTTAAAATGCCAAAAGTTAAAGAATCTTAATGGCAGGAAGAGAAAAAGCAGCTAGTTATGTACCAGGGATCCTTCATAAGACCATCAGCTGATGTTTCAGCAAATACTTTCCAGGCCAGAAGGGAATGGCACAAAATATTCAAAGTGATGAAAGGCAGTAGCCTACAACCTAACATACTCTATCCAGAAAAGTTAGCATTCACAATTAAAGTAGTGATAAAGAGTTTCCCAGATAAGCAAATGCTGAAAGAGTTCATCACAACTAAACAAGCATTAGAAGAAAAGTTAAGGGGACTTCTTTAAAGGGAAAATACCAAAACTAAAAATAAGAAAATATTGGAAAGAAAAAATTTGCACTGATAAAGGCAAACCGTTGTAAGTGTAAAAGATCAACCAATTATAGAGCTAGAAGAAAGATTAAAACACAAAAGTACCTAAAGCATGTGTAACACAGTAATGCATTATGGGATACACACACAAAACAAGATGTAAAATATGATGTAATAAACATAAACATTGGGGTGAGTAAAAATGTAGTTTTAGAATGCATTTGAGCTGAAGCAACAACTTAAAAAACATTGCTATACACACAGCTTGTTATATATGAATCTTATGGCAACCCTAAACCTAAAATAGATACAGTTAGAAATGAAGAAAAAGAACCCAAACAAACACTAAGAAGTCATCAATGTACATGAAAAGAGAGCAAGAGCCATAGCAGGTTTGGCTCAGTGGATAGAGTTTCAGCCTGCGGACTGAAGGGTCTGGGCTCAATTCCAGTCAAAAGCACAGACCTCAGTTGCAGGCTCCTCCTTGGCCCGGGCTCTGGTCATACTCGTGCAGAGGGCAACCAATCAATATGTTTCCCTCACCTCAATTTTTTTCTGTCTTTCCCTCTCTCTTCCACTCTCTCTGAAAATTAATGGGAAAATATCCTTGAGTGAGGATTTTAAAAAAAGAAAAGAGAGTAAGAGAAGAAGAAAGTAACAGAAAAGAACTACAAAAGCAACCAGAAAACAATTAATAAAATGGCAATAAGTATACACCTATCAATAATTACTTCAAGCCATAACCAGTTTGGCTCAGTGGATAGAGCATCGGCCTGTGGACTGAAAGGTCCCAGGTCCGATTCTGGTCAAGGGCATGTACCTTGGTTGTGGGCACATCCCCAATAGGAGGTGTGTAGGAGGCAGCTGATCGATGTTTCTCTCTCATCGACGTTTCTAACTCTCTATCTCTCTCCCTTCCTCTCTGTAAAAAATCAATAAAATATATTTTAAATAATAAATAATAAATAATAAATAATAATTACTTTAAGTGTGAATGGACTAAATATTACAATCAAAAGACAGGGTGATTGGATAGATTCAAAAACAAGACCTGTGCATATGCTGCCTATAAGAGTCTCATTCAGTTTGAAAGACACAAACAGACAAAAAGTGAAGAGATGGAAAAAGGTATTTCATGCAAATGAAAATGAAAGCTGCAGTAGCGATAGTTATGTCAAACAAAATAGACTTTAAAACAAAAACTATAATAAGAGACAAAAAGGGCATTACATAATGATAAATTGATCAATCTAACAAAAGAACATAACATTTATAAACATCTATGCATTAAGCATTAAGAACACCTAAATATTTAAAGCAAATGTTAATAACATAAAGATAGAATTGACTATAACACAATAATAGCAGAGAACTTTAACACCCCACTTACATTAATGAATAAATTATTTAGACAAAAAAAATCAATGAGGTAACAATAGTCTTAAATGACACACTAGAATAGATACACTGAACAGATACAGAACATTCCAGCCAGAATCAGAATAATATACTTTATTTTCAAGTACTCATGGACCATTTCTCTAAAATAAACCACATGCTCGTCCACAAAAAAGTCTCAGTAAATTTTTTAAAAATTGAAATCATATCAAGAATCTTCTCCAATAACAACAGTATGAAATTAGAAATAAATCATAAGAAGAAAATTGGGAAAAAAAACCACATGGACACTAAACAACATGGAACTAAACAAATAATAGGTTAATAAAGAAATCAAGGAGTAAATAAAAAAACCATCTTGAGAGAAATGAAAATG